CTGGGGCTGAGGCCAAGCGACCAATTTAAACAAGCCTCATAGGGGAAGTCAGTTTTGAGGCCTCCTGTCCTGTGACTCCAGATGGGACACAGCTTGCAAGAGGGTACAAAAGGTAAGGGCTGCCATGGCCAACCATGAGGCAAGGCCTGAAGAAAGAAGGGCAGCAAGGGACAGGCTATGAAGGAATCTTCCCTGTCATCGAGCCCTGGCTGTGTTACCTGCCATTTACAGATGGGGCTGCGGGGAGGGCTGCTGGAACCAGGGAGGCACAGCACAGTGCCCCCACCCTACCCTGGGCCCTGTGCAATCAATCCCAGGTGCAGTTCCCAGGTGCTGTGCCCTGCAAGCCTCCTAGTAAAACAAAACAAACTTCCCCAGAATTAACATAACAAAGACAACTTGAAAAACGACCTGTCTTTGCCAGAAGGAGGTGGGCTGTGGCATGACCAACTGTCCCAGTTTGCCCAGCACTGAGGTGTTTCCCAGGATGCAGAACTTTGAGGGCTAAAGCCAGGAGAGTCCTGGGCACACAGGGACACACTGGTCACCAGAGCAGTACAGCAGCCGCAGGTGCTGGGGGATGACGAGGGAGGCCTGCCTGGCCAAGCAGAGGACACCCAGAGATTCCCACAAATGGCTCCATGCTGGCAGGATAAAGGGCACGAGCCATGTGAGGGCCTGCGCGGGCCTGACACAGACACCAGGAAGGACAACTCCTATGCGCTCCTGCAAAGAGCAGCCCAGAGCCTGTGAGCTCCCGTGGACAGGAACTGTCGCTCTTGTGTTCATAGCTGGCTTGTGGGCTCCCCTTGTCATCTGTCCCACACCTGGAGCTCAATACACACCTGCTGAACAACAACAGAGACTTTTGGAAAAGCTAATTCCTCCTTGGCAGTACAACAGCCATTTACATCCCACCACCGGCCGATGCTGTGGCTCTGGTCACAACTCGGAAAATGCATCAGGCTCTACTCGCATGCAGGGGTCTGGGCAGGGCTTATGGAGAACCGAGAGAAGGTACAAAATACATTCTCTGTCCCAGTACTCATCCACACGTGTCCTGGGGCTACCAGGCCGATGGGGCGGGTATGCATCCCCTGTCCTCCTTTCCCAGTACCGTGACCTCATCCTGGGGTCAAGTCCCTCTCTGAGTTTCCTTTGGGAGACCACCAACCACGCATCACCTCTGACCAGGAGTGGTCACATGGCTGACGCCTGACCAATCAGCACCTTCTATCCCAAAGGCTTCCGTGATTGGTCCAAGGATGGACATGTGACACGAGCTGCCTACTGGAAGTCAGCCTCAGGGATTTTTTACTCGGAGAGAAAATCTCTCTGGCAGTAAGCTTGTTGGAATTTGGAAGCCTAGAGCCACAGGTGAGGGTGCGAGAAAAGGCAACCCAGGAGAAATGAGACAGAAAGAGAGGGAATGGCGGAGGGGGAGAAATGCCAAATCACCATCCTTTGAGACCATGGATCCAGCAGATCTTCTGCTGAAATATCCTGATACGTGAGCCAAAAAACTAACATCTGTTTCCCTAACTTCTGTATTGCCTAAGCTCCTCCAAGACACAATTTGCTGTTTTTAATTTTAAAAATTCTTGCCACAGCGTCAAACCACAGCAGCCCACTACTCATCCCGGAGCACCCTCAGGCCCCAAGATCAACCTTTATCCCTCCCCCCCACCATGGGGAGCACTCTGGCCTCGTGTTCTCTATACCCCGGGCCTGGCTCCAGGCCAAGTGGGTGCCCTGGGGCCGGAATTTTCTCAAGCGTCCACACTGTCGAATGTTGATCACTCCCAAGCAGATGATGTGAGATGTTTCCGTGTTTCTGCCTCGCTCACCGTCTCTGCAGGCTCATCTGTGCCCACAGCAGTTTCCAAAAGGAAGGGCCCAGGTCCCTGCAGATGACTGAGCTGATGCTCAATGTGGCAGGGACCCCACTGACTCACGTTGAAGTTTCCCGTGGTTTGAATTTTCATGTCCCCCAAAGGGCCTTGGGTCAAAGACTTCTCCCCAGTCTACAGAACTTTTAGGAGGTGGGATCTAATTAGGACATTGGGAGTGTTTCTGTGAAGGGGATATTGGGACCCCTGTCACTGCGGGTCTCTCTTTACTTCCTGGCTACCATGCAGTGAACAGCCCTGCCACCACAGGTTCTGGGCCGCCACAGGTCTAAAGCAACAGGACCAAATGACCAAGGAAGTGTGAATCAAAATAAACCTTTTCTCTTATTAGTTGATTATCTCAGGTGTTTTGTTACACTGACAGAAAGTTGACTAACAAAATTTATAACAACAACAACAAAAAATGTTCTTTTTGTTTCTCTCCCAAACTTTTTGGTTGCTTTAAAGTTTCAGTCCCACATTATTGTGGCTTTGACACTTCCCTGCCACTCATTTCTCTTCATTTTTAATAAATAGAGAAATTGTTGAGCTCAGAATCCTCCACAGAGGGCTAGAAGTTTATAATACCGGCTCATTCTCTTTGCATTTAATTTTGTGTTGAACTTTGATTGGAACACATGATGTTAGTTGTTCCTCTCGGTAGTTTTATTAAAGCTTCCTTTGAAAATTAATTTATATACATAAAATATGAGTCTGTGTAAGAAAAACAAATATGGGAAATAAGAGGTGGCACTTGGATGTGGGGTGTTGGTAAACAGCAATCCACAGGATGCTGCATAACTGACTCGGCCGCCTCCCTGGAGCCCCAGTGACCTGCCCCGTGGTCAGGGTATAGGTGTACTTGGGCTCACCCGAGCACATGTGACACTTGGTCACCACCAGCAGTGGTGTTGGGCAGGAGGACCTTGCAGAGCGATTGGTGCCTTTCTCCTGAGACTGAATTAGTTCTCTAAGGAATGGATCACTTAGCATGAAGGGGGGTCATTCTGATCACCCTAGCGCTCTCTTCTGAACATGCCTGCCTGACCTGCTCCTTTTTTCTTACCATGTCACAACACAGCAGGAGGCCCTTGCCTGCTACTGTTGATTAAGCATGTACTTTCCAGCCTCCTGAAAGGTGAGCCAAAATAAATCTTTTTTCTTTATAAAGAATCCAGTCTCAGGTATTGTTTACTAGCAACAGAAAATAAAGACAAATGAACTGAAGGACTTGTGACCCTCAAGATGGGTCTCACAGAGTCAAGCCTTTGTCCATGTTGTCCCTCTGCCTGGATGCCCTTTTCCCACAGTCTCCTCATCAACCTATAATAATCTCATTTATGTTTAAAGATTCAAGACATTACTACTTACTGGGACCATTCTCTTGCCTGACTCCTTGGATATTTCCAGTGTCCCTGCAAACAATTTCTGTGTTCTCTCAGCCCACCCTTTATAGGTTGCTGACAAGAAGTGCTTCCCTGGGAAGCTGAGAGACCCCAGAGAGATGGAAAGGGCTCTTCACCTGTGTCTGATCCAGGGGCTCAGTCAGCACAAGAGGAAGTGAAGGGAACTGGTGAGACAATGGGGATCCGTCAGGTACAAGCACCTGGAGCCCCGAGGAGAAGCAGTTCTAAAGAAGGAAGACAGGCATTCCCAGGAGCACGTGCCTGAGCTGGCTCCAAGATGTGGGCCTGGGGATTCCAGGAGCAGAGAGTATCCTGGGGTAGAAGGATCTGGTGGACACCCAGAGCAAGGGCCCGGTGCACCTAAGTTCTCAACCTGATCCTGCATTTGAATCATCTTGGAGCCTGATAGCATCATTCTCAGCTCCACCCCATGGAAGTGGGCCAGGGAAGCTGCTGCTGAAAATCTGTGCTTCAAGTGATGCTGCAGCAGGGCATTTGAGAACCACACTTTGAGAAGTACAGGTTCTCTGGGTGCCAGGTAAGGACGGAGACAGCTAGAGGCCCAATGGGGAACATGGGGAAATTCACACAAACTGCGAAGGCGTCTCTGAGCACTGCGTTGCTGATTGGATATCAAGGGCCTGGAAACACAGTACTGTAAGCCCAGCACTCATGGGGGCTGAGGCAGAAGGGTGGCAAGTTTGAGCCAAGCCTGGGCCAGTTAGCAATGTGCTGAGATGCTGTATCAAAACAGAACAAACAAAAACTCAGAACTGCTCAGTGTGCAGGACCTTGGTAAAAACCCTGATATGAAAAGAAAGAGAGGGGGAGAGAAGAGGG